GGTAGCCACTCTGTTGACCTCTAAAACTGCAGATTAGTTTTCCCAGTTTTGGAACTTTATGTAAATGGAATCATACAGTTGAAAGTTTTCATGTATGATTTCTTTTTCTTTTTCTTTTTTTTTCTTTTTTGAGATGGAATTTCACTCGTTGCCCAGGCTGGAGTGCAATGGCATGATTTTGGCTCATTGCAACCTTTGCCTCCCAGGTTCAAGCGATTCTCCTGCCTCAGCCTCCCAAGTAGCTGGGATTACAGGCATGCGCCACCGTGCCCGGCTAATTTTGTATTTTTAGTAGAAACGGGGTTTCACCATGTTGGCCAGGCTGCATGTATGATTTCTTTTACTCAACATTATGTTATGATGTGATGTGAGATCCATGATATGTGTTTATTCTGCTGATGATGGACATTTGCGTTGTTCCTGAGTTTTGGCTATTATGAAAGTGTTGCTATGAACATATTTGTACATATTTTAAAAAAATTCTCAAGGTGATTTTGCTGCATACCTTTGAGAAATCTCTCTTACAATTACATTTTAGTATTATAATATTTAGATCTCTGCCTTTTCTATTTCTTGCTAAATTGGTCCTATTTTGAATCCAATTGATTCAGAATTTGTGATTTAGTCATTACTGTTTTCACATTAGTGTTCATGTAAAAGGCATTATTGAAATACCAGGGGTTTGGTCTATGTCCTATTGCTCACCGCACAGACAGGCAATCACTGAGACAAGTGTTGCCAGGGAAGAAGGCTTTAATCAGATGATGTCAGCCAAAGGGATGGGGGATAAATCTCAAATCATTCTCCCTCAACTTACTAAAATGGGAGGTTTATATAGTGGGGAAGAAACGTAGCTACATATGGGAAAATAAGAATTAGGGAGCGGAAAGAAAACAATCAAGATGAGTGAGGGTTCTGCCATCTCTCTGCCTGACGTGATGTAAATTTCAGTTGCTTGATACTCTCTGGGAGGCCTGCCGATGGGTTTCCTGAGGAAGGAATTCAGATAAGACAAATGTGAGTTTCAAGCTTTAAGACCAGGAGGGTCAATTTCTATGTTTATTCATAAAGACCATAAACTCACTTCCGTGGAATAATTAGGCTGATTTCAAAGGAATTTTTGATGAGGACAAAACAACTAACGTTAAATTTCTTTTTCTTTTCTTTTTAATTGCAACAACATAGCATAACATGACTTTTACCAAGAGTCTAAGCTTATTTTTCATAAATAAAAGCAATGTTAAAAGCTTAAAACTATTTTTAAAGACTTATATTTTAAAATTGCTTATTTGAATCTGTGTTATTAGAATAATCAAATCTTAATGAGTGCTTCCTACAAAATACTCATTTTCCTTTTCTATTTCATTTCATAAATTAATATCTTACTCTTCTGTGCTTCTTAAACTCTACTCCTGAACCTGCGAATGTATTATCTGCTCTGTTAGGTCGAAGATTTCTTGAAGGCAGAGATTGGGTCTTGTTCAGTTCATCCTTTTACTTAGAGTGACTAACCCAGTGGGAGAACTTCATAATTAGGTTGGTGTCAGATTTAGACAGTTTCTAATTTAAAAAACTGACTCCTCCCAACGCCCCCCAAAACCAAACAACCCTTCAGAAGGTGGTTAGCAGATGACATTTTAATCAAGTCGTTAAATGTTCATTATTTGCTATGTTTCAGACTTGTACGTAAAACCAGGAAAGATCTTCCTATTATAAGTGCTTATATATAGTCATTAAGCTTTAACAGCAACTGTCCAGCTGTTTCTTCTTCTTTTTTTTTTTTTCGGTTGTTTTCTGTTACTGTTGTTCTCTCAACTCCCTTGGAAGGTGAGGCAGCATTAAAGCTGCACACAACTGTAATGAAAGCTTAGAACCAGGTAACACTCAGAAAAGGGAATTGTTGCTGGGGTGAGAGCATCACAGTACTCCTGGAAAGTAGTTCACAAAGTTTATAGAAGTTTGATGCAGAAACGGGCAGAGAGAGTTTTGGAGCGTTCTGTAGCCCACAGAGTGAGTCAGTGTAGTGCCAGAATTAGAATGGAATGGAATGTGAAAAACTGTGTGATCTAGGAGCAAGCAGCCCTAGGCATGAGGAGGTCTTAGCCTTGCTTTGCTTTTGGACAGCTGCGTGATTGTTGCAAGTCACTTCACCTCATTTGACCTCAGTTTTTTTTTTATCTTGAGAAGTAGGGAGTTGGCCTGCATGAGTAGTCATGTCCTTTCTAACGCAGGCAAGACTCTGATCATTCAGTTCTGGGAGTGCTCATGTTAGAAGACAGCAGGAGTGAAGCTAAGTGATTAACTGGAACATTTGAAGAGCCAGGTAGGGATCATTCAGTCTTTCTATCCAATCGCTTCTTTTCCTTCAATATAGTCAGGCTCTAGTCTTCTTTTAATAGTGGTGACCAAATGGCCAAGAATGCCCTTTACCTTCTCCTCCTTTGATGCTGAAGATTTTGATCAAATATCCTAAGTCATACAACAAAGGTTTTAAAAAATATTAGACTACGTTTCACACAAAATTTTATCATTAATCAAAAGCCTGTGAAATCCCCCCAACTCAGACCACCTTTAGTTTGTTGGTTTTCTTTTCTTTGTTAGTAGACTTGTTACTATATGGGTAATGTGAGCCATGTGTAGAGAAAATATGCTGGACATCAAGATGTTTACCAACATATGCAAGGGTAGCTTTCTGAGATGTGAGGCATTATTGAATTTTCAGACACATCCAGGACATCCATTACTCAAAAAACACCCACCAATTAAGGCATAATGCTCCTGAAAGCACTCTGGTAGTCTCTGATTACCCTGAAATTCATTTGAAAATACAAAGTATGTCTCAAACCCAGTTCACAGATGCAAGATGAGAACTGTGAGTCAGGTACAAACTTGGCAGAAATAAAATGTAAGAATAAAATGGACTATAAGCTGAATAACGTGGGAAAGTACCCACATAGCAGGCATGCATTTGATCATCTATCATCAGTTGAGGGGCAAGTTAGAAATGGTAGATACAGTAGAAAGAGCACAAGTTAGTTTTGGGCCAAATATATGTGCTGTTTGAGTCTGTAGTTTTCTTTTCTAAAAAAGAGGGAATGATCACATTTACCTTGCAGATTGTAGGATTAAAGCTAATATATGTCAGATATTTAGCACACATTAGACACATTTTTTTAAAAGTTACATAATGTTATCTTTTTGAATTAGGTTTTATAGGCTAAAAAAGTCTATTTTAACTGGCTGGGAAAGTGTTAAAACAAATTACACCATTCCATTCAATGCAGCAATATTTCTTCATGCTTATGGTGTGCTGTATCTGATGATAAAAGCACGAATAAGAGGATTTGCATTTCTATCTTGGAAATACACAATATCCATAGGCAAAGAGACAAAAGAAAAGGCATTTCATTTGAGAGGCATAGGTCAGTGGTGAGATCTACATATTCTCTTGATACTCTGGAATAGATTGGGTGGGGAAGGCAAGATACCTGTTCTTAGGAAGTAACTGTCTTACTTTGGTTCTATATTATATGTGGTTCTACACTGTCAAAGAGGACATTGAAGCTGGTGATACGGTTTGGCTCTGTGTTCTGACTCAAATCTCATGTCACATTGTAATCCCCATAATCCCCACGTGTTGAGGGAGGGATCTGGTGGGAGGTGATTGGATCATGGGGGCAGTTTCCCCCATGCTGCTCTCATGATAGTGAGTGAATTCTCACGAGATCTGATGGTTTTATGAGTGTGTGGCAGTTTTTCCTTTTCTCTTTCTCTCTCCTGCCGCCTAATGAAGAAGGCACTTGCTTCTCCTTCTCCTTACGCCATGATTGTAAGTTTCCTGAGGTTTCCCCAGTCATGCGGAACTGTGAGTGAATTAAAATTCTTTCCTTTATAAATGACCCAGTCTGTGGTATTTCTTTATAGTAGTGTGAAAATGGACTAGTACACTTGGTGACATCAAAACTCCCAGCATCATTCAAGATTTATTGTTTCTTGAACAAGATGAATGATTGACTGAAGTGCCTCAAGTTCTGTAGTTTGCATGTGGGATGAGTCAAAAGGGGGTGAGAATGTTAACAAGGGGCATGACCCATGGGAATTTGCTGGGCATATCCTCAGTCACAGAGCAACGAGGGGAAAGTACAGGCAAAAGGTGTAAGCTGAACCAGCCACAACCTGTGGAGAAGAATGAGATGGGATGATGTTTGCTTGACTGCTAACTTGATAATAAAGAATGTTAGCCTTTGGCTTCATTTTGCCTGAATAAAGGGAGTTCTACCACAAAGTGGGTAGGATTGTGTCCCCTCAAAATATAGTTTAAGTCCTAATCCCTCTACCTGTGAATATGACCTTGTTTGGAAATAGGATCTTTGCAGATGTAGTCAAATTAAGATGAGGTTGTAGTGGCTTAGGATGGGTCCTAATTCAGTGACTGCTCTCTTTAAAAGAAGAGGGAAATTTGGATACATACATGGATGATAAAGAGAAGAATGTGAAGATGGAGGCAGAGAGTTGAGTGATTTGTCTACAAGTCGAGGAATGTCAAAGTTTGCTGGCAACCACCAGAAGCTGAGAGAGAGGCGTGAAACAGATTTTCCCTGAGAGTCCCGAAATGAACCAAATCTGCTGACATCTTGATTTTGGACGTCTGTCCCCCAGAACCATGGGAGAATAAACTCCTGCTATTTAAACCACTCAGTCTGTGCTAATTTCTTATGGCAGCCCCAGGAAACAAATTCACACCACTAAATGAAAATAGATCCCTGTCTATCAATATCAATATCAATATCAATCAATAAATATCAATATCAACACCAATATTTATATACAGGGATGATAATGACCTTAGTTTTCCAGTTCTTAATAGCATACTGAATAATTGTGCATGATTGCATTTCAGGTATGTAAAATAATAATTGTTTGTTCACTTATTTTCTTCCAATCACCATTTTCTCCTTCTCCTTTTTTTTTTTTGGTTTTAGATCATTATAGGTTTTACAATGGACTCTCTTGTTGCAGCAAACACCAAATTTTGCTTTGATCTTTTTCAAGAGATAAGCAAAGATGATCATCATAAAAACGTATTTTTCTCTCCCCTGAGCCTCTCAGCTGCCCTTGGTATGGTCCGCTTGGGGGCTAGAAATGACAGTGCACATCAGATTGATGAGGTATGTGTCCACTGGGGTGCTACACAGGGTCCTAAACTCTGGGTCCACACTCAAAGTCAGATGCTAATCCCACTCAGGCAAGCCAAGGTGCTTATTGCACCCTGGGCTTGGTTGGAACCCATCCCGGTCTCTGAGTCTTTATTTGTATTTTCCCCACCTTACTTCCTCTTCGATCCTACCATTCTTAAAATCTCACTTAAACTTCTACCTTCTTTAGGGTGCTCCCCAACCTCATGTCTGGCAGCTTTTCTCATTCATCTCTATCTTTATCTCTGTATGCATGTCTGTCACTCTTTTACTCTATAATTACTAATACCAATATTGCCAGCAATTTTCAGTATGTGTATATGTCTTCTCTCTCACTCATTTCATTAAATAAATATTTATTAAGCACCATAAATGATTTAATTGGCTAGACGGCTTGGTGTCCTCCTGGACTCTTTCTCTCTCACTTTATACCACCTTTGTTAGCAAATTCTGTTGGCTTTTCTTTTGAAATATATCCATAATCCAGGCACTTCTCCAAGTCTCCTTGAGGTCTGAACCACACCATCTTTTCTCACCTGGATACTGCAACAACTTCCGGATGGGTTTTCCTGCTCCCACTGGCAATCTATCCTTTGCACAGCAGCCCAAGAGACCCTTTTAAAACCTGAGCCAGATAATATTTCTCATCTGTTCCAAAACCTGGATTTCTCATTTCACTTATGATAGAAGTTCAAGTCTTTACTTGAACTTAACTTAATGGAATAAGAAAGTAGTACATCAAATCTAAGTAGATGAATAAAGCAGAATGACCCCAGAAACACATTCTGTCTTAATCCATAAATTCTCCTGCTCCATGTTCAGGGGAAACAGCCTGATTTGTGCTCACAAGGACTTGTGCCACAAGGATCTGGAGATCTGAATCCCAGATAAGCCCTGTGACTCCATCTCTCACTTTCATCCCTCCTCACTGTACCTGTCACACTGGCCTCCTGGCTTCCTTGGGTAAGCCACGCCAATCCTCTCTTGGGGCTTTTCTCTGGGTCCCTTTGCCTGATGGCTCTTTCCCCTGGTAACTGACCTCAGCTCGCTTTCTTCTTCAAGACTTTGGTCAGTGTTTATCTCCTCTACGGGGCTTACTTCGACCTCCTAATCTAGTGCTGTATCCTGACCTCCAACCCCTAAGGGATACTTTTTTCATGTGGCATTTTCTACTGTCTAACATACTGCATACAGTAATTAATTACTATGTGTCTTGATTTTTGTATGCCTCCTCCACTAGAATATAATCTCCTAGAGGGCAGGGATTTTTGTCCTAGAACAGTACTTGGCTTAGAGTAGGCACCTAATAAACATTTCTAGAATAAATACATGAAGGTGATAAGAACAAACCCCCAAATAAACTACAAGTTCCCGTGGTTGGCCTTATAATTCCTCGGATGTAGCACATAGTGCAGGGGTTATGCACAAATCAGGCTGTTTCCCCTGAACATGGAGCAGTAGAATTTATGGATTAAGACAGAATGTGTTTCTGGGGTCATTCTGCTTTATTTATCTGCTTAGATTTGATGTATTATTTTCTTATTCCATTAGCAAAACTTAGCTTCAGAGTGTGGTTTGCATCTTGCAGGGCAGAATTCAGATGTTCTTTCTTAGGCACTTGAGGGCACCTGCTGACCAACTGGGTCTGAGCAGTGCAGGATGTGACACCTGTCTCCTACCTTTCTACCAGACTCTGGATAACTTGTCTTTTGCTGTCCTCACTCCCTTGATTCATGTGAAACTCTAGATCAGCACTGTCCAACACAAACATAATGAGAACCACATACTAATTTAAAAATTCTTAGTAGCTACATTACAAAAGTAAAAAGAAACAGGTGGGACCAATTTTAATAATACTTTTTAAACCTAGTATATGCAAAACATCATATCCACATATAATCAATGTAAAAATTTTAATGAACTTTTTTTTTTATACTATATTCAAAATCTGGCATGTTAATTTGCACTTACAGTCAATTCAGATTGGGTATCTATGAAATGCTCCATAGCTACATTTAACTAGTGGATACCTCTATATTCTTTTAGTTTGGTTTTATTTATTCATAAATGTTCTCCCAGGGTAGCAGTTGGTACTTCTCCTCCATTCCACCTCCCAGCCAAAGGACAGAAGCACCCACTTTCCTTTAAACCGTTGTTGATTTTTTTGTTTGACTATGTAATCGTTGCCATTGTCTCACTATGAAAATGTTTCTGAAGTTATTCAGGCTTCCCTCTGTTCATACTGTCTGAAAGACCCCATCCCGTTATCATGCAGGTACTACACTTCAACGAACTTTCCCAGGATGAAAGCAAAGAACCTGACCCCTGTCTGAAAAGCAACAAACAAAAAGTGCCGGCTGACAGCTCTCTGGAAGGGGAGAAGAAAACGACAGAGTCTCTGGATCAGCAGGTGAACCGCCACCATAGTAAACTCTTGCCCTTCTTATTTATAAACTGCTCATTCTGACTGTAGGATATTAGGTGATAGTTGCTTATCCCCAAACATTAGACTCTGGATACCATCAATAGCAATATCCTCATGTGGTCTGTGATTCCTTTCTGAGTATGGATCTCAGATGTCCTCGGCTATGAGCTAGTTTCCTAAAGAGTAGGATCTCGTATCTTCTGCTTATGATAAAGAAACCTAGATCATCACTGTGTCACTCATCTGCTTCTACAGGCCACAGGGCCCCAACATAGAGCATAGTCAAAAATAAAGGTGGTAAGGAGTAGGGTCAGCTGTGGAATTCTTACCGTCTCCCTCCACCTCTGCTTGTTCCATTTTGTGCTGAAATCTGCACTGACAGACAAAACTTTTATTGGGTGCCTCATGCCAGGAGGAGGAAACATATTCTCCAGGGTATGCATCCCCCTACCTTAGAAAGTTTAAAAGGAGGATAGAGAGATGATTGTCTTTCTTTTTTTTTTTTTTTTGAGATGGAGTCTCGCTCTGTTGCCAGGCTGGAGTGCAGTGGCGCGATCTTGGCTCACTGCAACCTCTGCCTCCTGGGTTCAAACGCTTCTCCTGCCTCAGCCTCCAGAGTAGCTGGGCTTACAGGCATGAGCCACCGTGTCTGGCCTCTTTTAAATATAAAGAAAATCCGGGTGTGTCAGTCCGAAATATAGTGAGCATTGCTGAGTTCCCCAGATGTGTTTTTCCTGGATGATCTTGATAAAGATGCGGGAGCCATAATCTTCCACTGGGCCCGCTTCTCACCCTCCATTCCTCTGCTCTTCCCAGCTCACTTCCCCTGCATGGTAACAGAGACAACTGACATCTTACTAAGAAGCTCTATCTTGCTTCTGTACAAAACACGCATCCTTTAGTTGTGTTTAGCTCTTCTGATAGACACAGTGAAGGTCACATTTTGTTTCTGCTTTCCTTAGGCTGAGTCCTTAAACAATGAGAGTGGACTCGTCAGCTGCTACTTTGGGCAGCTTCTCTCCAAATTAGACAGGATCAAGACTGATTACACACTGAGTGTTGCCAACAGGCTTTATGGAGAGCAGGAATTCCCAATCTGTCAGGTGAGTTGCACACAAATGGTGACAAAAGCTACCATGTAGCATATTATTTAAAAATCAGGGAGTAGCTGGGTTACTCACCTGCCATCTAGAACACAACCTCTTTGATAGGATGATGCGCTGTGGACTGGTGAGGTGTCCAGGACCTCCTTCTTTCAGTCCCACACTTTTGTTCTCTTCCCAGTGTTCAACGTGAGCATTGTGGGTGGAATAGAGTGGGTGAAAAAGGGTTGTGTGAGTAATGGAGACTTAGGAGCATGTGTGGGCTTGGTAATGGCATCCTCTCCTACTGTCTTCCCCAGTCAAGGTGCCTGGTTGCTGCGCTTTTCTCTCCCTTATCTGTTGGGTGCCCCCAAGACGTTTCTGTGGAATCTCCTTTTGTGCCAGGATCATGCTACCCCTGCAATCGTGTTCACTATGCTCTTTCGAGAGTGGGGTAGTGGGGGAGTGGAGAAGATTGCATTTTGGCATTTGGAGCTGAAAGGCACAAGACTTGTCTCTGTGGCTAAACAGCTTTGTACCTAGAGCAAGCTGTGTCTCCATCTGGGCTTCAGTTTCCTCTCGAATTACTAGAAGGAGCCATGTACTAAACAATAAATGTGGGGGATATGACCAATGGTCAAGACGTGACATGGCTAGTTAGTGAGGGACTAGCCAGGGGTCCGGTGGCCTCCTTTGGCCAAAATAAGTGTGCTCTCTTGCAATGAAAGTAAGATTTTTTCATGCTAGATTTTTAAAAACTAGCTTTTTTTTTTATGACCTGTAAATTCACATATTAAACAATTCACCATTAAAAGTATACAAACCAATGGGTTTGGTATATTACATTACTGATTTTTTTAAATTATGGTAAAATACATATAAAATTTACCATTTTAACCATGTTTATGTGTACATTTCAGTAGCATTACTTACATTCACAATGTGGTGTAACCATCACCTTATCTATTTCTAAAACTTTGTTTTTCATCACTCTAAACAGAAACTCTGCAACCATTAAGCGGGGGGTTTAATTCTTATAAACAGAAGCATTTTCCAGCCAAGTCTCTCAAGTTACTTGATATTTACCTTGTGATGGGTTGTTGAAATAAAACAACACAGATGGGTTGTTGAAATAAAACGATATCCAGTAGGAAAGCCTTGTCCTGTTGTAACTATAGACTGTTCATGAATAATGTTCAATATCCTCATTTGCAACTACAAAAACTGAAATGTCTCTGGCTAGTTTAAGACTGGGGATGACTAGAAACTGTCAGGCCTGTCCCTACAATGTGAAAATGACCAGGCTCATCTTTCTTGGAAGACTTCTCAGGAGAGCCTTACTCCTATGAGCATCGCTGCCTGATTTTATTGCACTATTTCCCTTTTATTCCAATTGAACAGGAATACTTAGATGGTGTGATTCAGTTTTACCACACGACAATTGAAAGTGTTGATTTCAGAAAAAACACTGAAAAATCCAGACAAGAGATTAACTTCTGGGTTGAATGTCAATCTCAAGGTAAGAAAGTCAAAAGCACGGGAGCTGGTATTGGTTTCCATTTAAAAGAAAATTGGTCTGCCTAGCTTTGCAGATTGCTGGTCTACTGGGGGCCAGAGGTTCACATATGTGGACTGTGTTCAAAGCATGGTTTGCAGAATGAGACACCATCTCACACCAGTCAGAATGACTATTATTAAAAACTTAAAAAACAACAGATTCTGTCAAGGCTTCAGATAAAGGGGAACACTTACACATTGTTGGTGGGAATGTAAATGAGCCATTGTGGAAAGCGTTTGGAAATTTCTCAAAGAAGTTAAAACAGAGCTATCATTCGACCCAGCAATCCCATTACTGGGTATATATCCAAAGAAATATATATCATTCTACCAAAAAGACATATGCACTCATATGTTCATCACCACAGTATTCATAATAGCAAAGACATGGAATTAACCTAAGTGTCCATCAGTAGTGGGTTGCGTAAAGACAATGTGGTACGTATATACCATGGAATACTGCACAGCCTTAAAAAAGAATGAAATCATGTCGTTTGCAGTAACGTGGATGGAAATGGAGGCCATAATCCTATGAATTAACACAGGAACAGAAAGGCAAACATTGTGTGTTCTCACTTACAAGTGGGAGCTAAACATTGAGGACACACAGGCATAAATATGGGAAGGAACAATGGACCCTCCAGATACTAACTGGGGGCAGGGAGGGAGAGAGGAATGGGTTGAAAAACTACTTATTGGGTACTATGTCTACTGTCTGTGAACAACATGCCCATGTCACAAACCTGCACATGTACTCCCTGTATCTAAAATAAAAGTTGAAATTAAAAAACAAAACAAAACAAAACAAAAAAGCATGGTCTGAACAGCATCAAACAGTTAAACGGCTTGGATATTGCTGTTATTTATTATTGCAGTTTTGGTCTCTGGCCTCGCTGGCTCTGGGTGGGAAAGAGAGGAGGACACCAGCCTCATTAGGGCTGATCTTCTCGGTGAGGTTTACAGAATGCTGCCTTCTGCCGGTGCCTGTGTGAATTCGAAAAACAGAATAAATTCTTCCCTCCAGGCACAAAGTTAGTGACTTGAAGGGTCAGGTCAGGCTGCTGGACACAGATTAGACCCCTTTTTGATCACTGTTGTTGGGCTGGGGAAGATGTTTGTGTGCAGTGAAAAGTTTGGAGTGCATGAGAGAGCACAGGTAGTGCACTGCGTCTGCTGCCTTCAGTGAGACCATGACCCCAGGCATTTGCACGCATTTTGAGTGGCTGGAGGCTGGGAAATGATAGTTGACTTATTTTAGGCTGTCCTTGGTACTAGAGCGACACTTTCAGTTCCTCCTTTCCATGTGGTGGCTCTCTCTCCCTGTCTCCTCTTTTTCTCACACTGACTTAGGGATGGGATACCCCTGCCTGGCCTTTCCTTGAGAGAAGTCTGTAAATTCCAAAATTATGGCTTCTTCTTTCTTTCATATGCCACAAAAATGACCATTCTTTCAAGGCTCTACTGAGCTGTCAAAAGGAAAGCAATTCATTAACGAAGTTCATATTAAGGCCTGAATGTGTACTTTCCCCTTAGTGAGTTAACTCCTCCAGAGTATGTTAAATGTAGACGATGTCAACCTAATCTATTATTATGGGATTTAAGTAGAGCTCTTCTTGAGATGGAAGATCTTTTCTTCTTAAGTCATCTGCAGACATTCAAGTAACTGGTGATTTGGTTGTTTGAGGTAGAAAAGGGTGTGTCATGAAGATGGGCCATTGCCTGCTAGCCTGGGGCTTTTCAAGTTGGGCTTAGGGCTGTATTATTGTGGAAGGAGCCCCAGAGCTGAGCTTAAAGGTGGAACGCCTGAGGACTCATTCCCGCCAGTCTTACTGCTTCTTGGCTGTGTGACTTCAGCTCTCCCTGGATGCAATTGATTCTTCTATGAAGAAGGGATAACGATACCTCCTTATAGTGGTATGGATCAATTAATTGATTAATGTGGGATGGAATGAGAAAGAGCATGTAAAAGTATCTATAAAATAGGTTTCATATCATGGCCTAGCACATTTATGTGTATTTTTATTTATATGTAAGCGTATATCTTATGCTGTGTTGAGTGCTTGAGACAGGAAGTTTATATTGTAGTTCTTTGTTCTCAAGGGAGCTTATCATATTGTCAGATGACTAACTATATAATTTGAAAGATAAACCATAGTATAAGATGTCTACTGACAAGTTCCAAACACAACCAATATAGGGACTCAAAGGAGATTCCTTCTGTTACAGTGCTGTGATTGGACCCCCTGCAAGGTCGAGTGGAGCGTTTCTCCCCTGCCCTATCACTGCCTCTCTTACCTCCAGCCAGGACTGTGAATTAATCTTCTTGGGTTAGTTCTTGAATGAGACACTCCCTAGTCTTGGGGGTGATAAACTGCATTAAAAAAAATTATCGGCCGGGCACGGTGGCTTACGCCCATAATCCCAGCACTTTGGGAGGCTGAGACGGGCAGATCACCTGACGACCGGAGTTCAAGACCAGCCTGGCCAACATGGCGAAACCCCATCTCTACTAAAAATAAAAAAATTAGCCAGGCATGGTAGCGTGTGCCTGTAATCCCAGCAACTCTGGAGGCTGAGGCAGGAGAATCGCTTGAGCTGAGAAGGCAGAGGTTGCAGTGAGCAGGGATCACGTCACTGCACTCCAGCCTGGGAGACAAGAGTGAAACTCTGTCTCAAAAAAACAAAAATTATCTATACAAATACTTTTGATGTAATTCATACTCAGGATATTCTCTGGGATCTTTTCTTAGGTAAAATCAAGGAACTCTTCAGCAAGGACACTATTAATGCTGAGACTGTGCTGGTCCTGGTGAATGCTGTTTACTTCAAGGCCAAATGGGAAAATTATTTTGATCATGAAAACACAGTGGATGCACCTTTCTGTCTAAATGAGGTAGTGTATCAGAACTCATGGTTTTCTAGCTATCCAACTCATAATTTGCACTAGGAATGATTTGCAATATGTATACTCAAAAAGTTACAGCTTACATTTACAATAAGAACATTTTTCATTGATAAGAAGCAGTACCTGAATTTCACTGAGTGTTTTTGTGCCAAGTGCTTCCTGCACTGAGTAGTTTTCCATTTGTTATTTCATTTGTTCCCCCAAAGAGCATTATGAGATGGGTGCTATTATGATTTCCACTTAGGATTTGAGACAAAAAATGGAAAGGCTTAGTTAGCCAGATTCATGCATTAGGATTCAATCTGTGAGCGTTTGCCCCAGAAACCTGTGTCCTAAGCTAGTAGATTTAGAAACGAAGGGTTGGGTCCCAGCCACCCACTTGTCGGCCGGTTAGCTTATTACCAGAGATGCATTTTCCTCTCAGGCACCGAATATTCCCATCTGCAGGTTGACCATCCCTCACCCACCACCTTGAGGTTATTGTGAGATTTAAGGTGCATGGGGTTGTGCCTTCCCTCTGAAGGAGCAGGTGTTGTTATTTAAGATGGAGATGATTCTCACTTAACGATGGCTGTCCTTGGTGCTGTGGTGGGGTCATCCAGGCCAGCTGGCGTGGGGTGGTGTGAGGCCAAGAGGCTGGGCTGGGGCAGGCCCTACAGTGGGATGGCTGGCAGGGCGTGTTTCTGCTGACTTAACAGTGGAGTTGCCTTGATAGTAAGTTTACCAATAGTCATCTTGGGAGCTGAAGAACTGATTAAAAAACATGGAAAGGGCCAGGTGAGGTGGCTCATGCACGTAATCCCAGCATTTTGGGAGGCTGAGGAGGGAGAATCACTTGAGACTAGGAGTTTGAGACTAACCTGGGCAACACAGGGAGACCCTGTCTCTAAAAAAAAAAAAAAAAAAAAAAAAAAAATAGCCAGGTATGGTGGTCTGTGCCTGTGGCCCCAGCTACTCAGGAAGCTGAGGTGGGAGGATTGCCTGAGCCTGGGAGGGCACCACTGCACTCTAGCCTAGGTGACAGAGCAAGACCCTGCCTCAAAAACAAACAAGCAAACACCGCCCCCCCCCCCCCCCGCCCCATCACTCCACAACAAAAAAAAGACACTGAAAGATAAAGTGTTGGCAAAGTAAGGGCCACTGATGAGTGGGCAGACTCTTTCAGTCTGGATCCCTGGTATGGCTCAGGACTTCTGTAGGACCTTCTCATCTTTAGGAACCCCTGTCCTCAGTGAAGCTGGGACCATATGAATTTGGGAGCTTCCTATAGCCATCCTGTGACTTCCTACCTTGACCTCTACAGAATGAAAACAAGAGTGTGAAGATGATGACGCAAAAAGGCCTCTACAGAATTGGCTTCATAGAGGAGGTGAAGGCACAGATCCTGGAAATGAGGTACACCAAGGGGAAGCTCAGCATGTTCGTCCTGCTGCCGTCTCACTCTAAAGATAACCTGAAGGCTCTGGAAGAGGTAAATCTTCTTTTCCACATCTCTACAAAATATTTAATGATAGATCCTTAGAGAACAACACTGTCTACCATCTACCATCTTGAGGAAATACAGTACCTCAGCTGTCAGACATCAAGGAATGTATAAGAATCTGCATTAGATTAGATTATTTATCCTCATTTGTTTAGAATTAAACAACAAACGCCAGAAATATTGGGACTGGAGTTTCTTCTTTAATCTCATAGCTCTCTGCCACTGTTTTAGCAAACCGAGGAATCTGGGTTCTGAGTAACTTGAGAAGTTTTTTTTTTTTTTTTTTTTTTTTTTTTGAGGCGGAGTCTCGCTCTGTCGCCCAGGCTGGAGTGCAGTGGCCCGATCTCAGCTCGCTGCAAGCTCCGCCTCCCGGGTTTACGCCATTCTCCTGCCTCAGCCTCCCAAGTAGCTGGGACTACAGGCGCTCGCCACCGCGCCCGGCTAGTTTTTTGTATTTTTTAGTAGAGATGGGGTTTCACCAGGTTAGCCAGGATGGTCTCGATCTCCTGACCTCGTGATCCACCCGTCTCGGCCTCCCAAAGTGCTGGGATTACAGGCTTGAGCCACCGCGCCCGGCCGAGAAGTTTTTAAGCTTTTCCTTTTCTCTGAATATCCTGACTTCTGGCCTCTAACTCATACCATTTTTCTATAGCTCAGTTAAAGAATTAACTGAATCCTGTTTTGGGGAATATGTACCTTGACAGAAGCGTAGAGAATGACACCAGAATTGATTGCTTGCGAGGCAGGAATTAATAAAGGCTGGAGAAGCTCAGCTACAGATTTTGTCCAAGGGGGTAAAGAGATAAAGATAGAAACGGAGAGAAAGTGAGAGAAATACCAATACAGCAGGCAGAGTAATTACAACATCAGTAACAACCATTATTCAGAATTTGCTATGCGCTATCACTGTGTTAAGTACTTTATACACATGATTTCGTTAATGCTTGCAAGAACTTAATCGTATTATCTCTGTTTTATGGAAGAGGAAATTTAACTTCAGAAAATTAGGGCTTGGCCACAGCACCCAACTAATCGACTGAGCTTTGCTGTGCTTTGAACATTTGTCTGTCAAATACCAAAGCACACTGGAACCTGAGTTGTCCCCTAACTCTTTGCAAAGAGGAAAGATATTTGCTTGAAGTTTTAAATGAAATCAGACTATTCTCTGGCTTAGAGAAAGGCCTTGAAGGTCGTCACCCACCACTGAAATGGACTCAGGCACCTTGAAGTAATTGGGGCATTCTTTGTGGTCGCATAATCTGACGCTAAATATTATTTCCTTCCTCTTGTAGCTTGAAAGGAAAATCACCTATGAAAAGATAGTGGCCTGGAGCAGCTCAGAAAACATGTCAGAAGAATCGGTGGTCCTGTCCTTCCCCCGGTTCACCCTGGAAGACAGCTATGATCTCAATTCCATTTTACAAGACATGGGCATTACAGATATCTTTGATGAAACGAGGGCTGATCTTACTGGAATCTCTCCAAGTCCCAATTTGTACTTGTCAAAAATCATCCACAAAACCTTTGTGGAGGTGGATGAAAACGGCACCCAGGCAGCTGCAGCCACTGGGGCTGTTGTCTCGGAAAGGTCACTACCATCTTGGGTGGAGTTTAATGCCAACCACCCTTTTCTCTTTTTCATTAGACACAACAAAACCCAAACCATTCTCTTTTATGGCAGGGTCTGCTCTCCTTAAAAGGGAAGTATTGTCTAGTACTTTGGAGCTGGAGGAAAATATCAATACAATTTTCCCCTGGCATAAGATGGGCATTTGAGTTTTTGGTAATATCTAAAGCATCCCCTTCATCCTCCAGCCATCAGCCTGTGCTTATCTTCATCTTTCCATCACCCTGTAGCTTATTTTCGTCTGAGTCTGTTAGTATTGAAGGGCTATTGTTCTCTACCCTAAACTTTCAAGCGTATACATTCACCCTCTGTGACCTGAAGGTCAACACAATTCAGTACAGTACCTACCTCCTTTTGAAGGAATCCTAAAAGTTCAGGTCGTTAGACCATTTCTAAGAGATAGCAAACTCAGAAGCCACTTTAACATGGGCAGCAAGAGAACATGTTTGACTGGAACGTGTTTGGAAACTCAGCTCTCTTTCTGGGGTAGTTATGATTGTGGTCATCACTGGGCAAGATGCCCTGTTTTTTCCTTTGACAGCTCCTGCATGGAAGATGTCCTGTGAGGTCTTTTCACCTAGGAGAAGGTAGGGCTTGGGTGTATTTAAGTGATAGCTCAAAGACGTATGAATGCCCCAACCAGCACTCCTTTTGCACAGAGCAGGAGAATGATATTTGTCTTGTGATTTTGATACTGACCCAGGAAAGTGGCTAGTGGATTTAGAGGAGGTTTATCTCAGTTTTCCTTGTTGGGTCCCCCAACATTATCATCAAACACTTCCCTCTGTCTCTCCTCCCGCTAGCTCCAAGAATTCCCACCTGTGGCTAGTTCCTCTTACGCACCCAGCACAGGCAGGTGTGGAGAGGAATGCTGCTGCCATTGTGGATGGCTGGCCTCCTTGTGCTCCTCTGTCTGCCTTCTGGCCATGTGGACTTTTGTGTCTTCCCAGAGGTCTCATTCCAGGCCACATGGTGAGAACAGGCTTGAGCCTGGGCATGGTGTCCATAGAAATGCTTGTTGGCTGGGCATGGTGGCTCATGCCTGTAATCCCAGCACTTCTTGGGAGGCCAAGTCAGGTGGATCACTTGAGTCCAGGAGTTCAAGACCAGCCTGGGCAACATATTGAGACCCTGACTCTACAAAAAATACAGAAATTAGCTGGGTGTGGTGGCGTGCACCTGTAGTCCCAGCTACTCGGGAGGCTGAGGTGGGAAGATCACTTGAGCCCAGGGCGTGGGCACTGCAGTAAGCTGAGATGGCACCACTGCACTCCAGCCTGGGTGACAGAGCGAGACCCTGCCTCAGAAAAACAAAAACAAAACAAAAAAAAACCCAAAGCAAACAAAAAACCCAAAAAGCCAAAACAAAACCTGAAATCCTTGTCAAGAAGGCCATTGGGCTCATCTCAAGCTCTGGTCTACTGAAGGCCTGACCCCTAAGTGTTCCTACTCGCGGACTCAGGGCCTCTGTTCTCTGGTGTGGTAATGTGAGTTCCTCATTTCTGTCTTAGCTGAATGTTCTGCCATAACCGCTGACATGTCTGACTCACATCTCTTTGGAGTCAGTCTCTTTCCTAGCGAGGTGGGTTTCAGGTCTTGCTTGTGGCTCAGTTTCCTTGGCCCACCTTGTGGCTGTTCTCTTCCCAGCTGCCACCAAGTCATTCAGCGTGGCCGCAGCAGTATTTCGTGGGAGAAGGCAGGTGAACCACACCTGCTCCCAGGCTAGTCTTTTCTCCCTTTTCTCACCTACCCCAGTGATTTCTTTGTGCTCTAAGAGACAAGTTCCACATTCTCCATACAACCTTCTCATTGGTGAAGCTCATGACCTAAAACAATTCGTTGTTGGTAACGTGAGGCAGTTTGAGTCAGTGCCTTTTCCAGAATCCATGTCCCATGGGTCACATTTATTTCAGATAACCAAAAACTTCATGTCCCCTGTAGTTCCTTTTGGGGTTGACATTTTGGGGTCTGTTTCCATGTCTGACTTGGCATCACTGCCATACACCGAGCTGGAAACCATGACCTGTATATAGGCCTGCATTGCCCGGCATTTCTTTTGTTCTTATTCTTTTACTTGGTAAACACTTTTTTTTTTTTCATTTATATCGGGATTTCTCATATTTTAAAGCATGAGAGGGAGAATGTATCTATTTACAATAATGAGGAAAATTAAGAATCTTAAATTTTTATGTAAATCATAAACATTCTTTACTTTTGATGTATTAAAAAGTTTCTTCTGAATGAATAAAGCACTTTTATTATTAGTTAAAATATGTACGATGTGTTGCCAACTGATTTTTTCAGGGATATGAATCTAACTTCAAACTGTTTCATCCAAAAATATAAAAATACATAATCTATGAAACTAACAATTCATTTCAGTTACACAGGAAAATTACATTTTGCCCCAGTAATAGTTTCTCCCAGCTTTCCATCATAATTACCCTATGAAGGCATATAAAACAGATGAAAACTGACAATGCTAAAACTGGAGTGATAGCCAGCTGATGATCAGAATATAGAAGAAATTTCTGCTGACTACAAGTTTTTCCTTTTTTTTTCTTTGAGATGGAGTCTTGCACTGTTGCCCAGGCTGGAGTGCAATGGTGCAATCTTGGCTCACTACAACCTCTGCCTCCTGGGTTCAAGTGATTCTCAAGCCTCAGCCTCCTAGGTAGCTGGGATTACAGGCGCCTGCCACCACGCCCGGCTAATTTTTGTATTTTTATTAGAGAGGGGGTTTCATCATGTTGGCCAGGCTGGTCTCGAACTCCTGACCTCAAGTGATCCACCTGCCTTGGCCTCCCAAAGTGCTGGGATTACAGGCTTGAGCCACCACACCCGGTCCCTGCTGACTACAAGTTAACGAGTCTGGGCAGTAAGGCATTGTTGAGGGGTCATCAGCATCTCATTGCCAGTGAGTAGTCTGCCTGTTTCCTCCCATTGCTGCCTTCCTCTGAGTTCAGAAACATAAGCTCTCTCCCAACTTGAATTTTGGACGTCTATCTCTTTACTTTGTACTTGCTGCTGTCCTTCACCCTCTCTCTTTCTTATAAGTTAGTTTTTTTTTTTTTTTTTTTTTTTTTTTCTGCAGCCGTTTGAAGACTGAATGACTTCCCAATTATGATTTGGAAGAAGGTGAGGACAGGCATTTGTTCCTTCCATCCTAGGCAGTTTAGTCATCAGAAATAAAACACTTTTGGTGACGCCAAGGACAGGAAGAGCCTTGGTGGGAGTGTTCTTGGATATTTTATCTACGCTGTCTGTTTAAAGTGTCCCAGACCCAGCCCATACAAGGAGGAGAAGATTTACCTGAGCCCAGCAGAACTACACTAGATGGAACCCTTTCAGACACTGGAAATTATGCTCCAAACAGGGAGATCTTGACTCTTCATTTTTCTTGCACCAGCAAGATTGACCCAGCAATATGGTGCCCAGGGGTAGAAAGAACATACAAGTTGGTAGGCCGATATAATTGCTGGAAAGACAACCAGAGAATGATTTTAAATCAACAAGAAAATGAGCTCCCCACTTCCTCAGTTTAAGGTTTCCTCCACATAGCAATGTTGACAGGTAGAACAGATGAGGTAATATAGATTCAAAACAATTGTTTCACTTATGCTGACTGTAAATATTCTGGTAAGAGACACATGGACATATAGTACTCCACAGACTCCCTAATACATCCAGAATCTGTATGTTCAACTGCATTTCAAGTCCTCCTTATAACTTCATACACTATCTAGTGCATACTTCTCAAACTCCTCTGTAGTTTTTTTCCTTGAGCTGGGACAAGCCAGAACATGTGTTGCTTCATTCCTAATTGCTGTTTACAGCTTTTGCATGCTGGTATTTTTAAAAATTACAGTGTCATTAACCCGAGGCGGAGGTCCAATTGGAGCAGCAGGGTGAGGAAGCTTGTGCAGTTGTCTCGGTGGATTTCTTTGCTCCACACTTGAATGCCAATTCCAGATGTGTTCTTCATCCACACCACTCATCTGGCATTCTTAGTTTCCCAAATCCGTTTTATTTTCTCCTTACTCAGTTAAAAGAATCCAAATCCTTTTTTTACCCAATAAAAATAGAAAATATCCCCAAATGTGCATACTTAAGTATATTAAACATATTAATAAATGTATTAAGCATATTAATACTCTATTCACAGTATTTATATGAAGCATAATATATCCTTAATATTTAATTTATAAATGCTCATATTCTAATGCAATAAATTTTCCATTTAAATAATGTTTTCTTTCATGTGCATCAACAAAGTTTTAGCTACAGATAGGTGAAAAGGATTTAAAAAGCAACCCAGTGCACAACAGTGGGGCTGAGAAATTCGCACACCCCTTGTTGACACACATAGGTTCTGAACAGATCATTCCGTGTTCAAGATTAAATAAGTGGAGACAAAAGTATAAGGTATGAAAAAAATAAGTGCCGAATAAGAAGAGATATATCATGTTATAAATGAGAGAGAGAGTGAGAGGGAGGGAGGGAGAGAGAGAGGCTGACTTCATAAAATGATATACAGCAAGAACTGGAAGAAACTTTTAAAAGCTTTTGGGCATAATTAATAGGATTTAAGAAGACACAAAATCTATGGAATAGGAGTGCAATGCTGCGAAGATAAACTCTGATAAGATGTGAAAAAGCTAAATGAGAAAAAAACAGATGACTAGGGAATGAAAAAATGCAATAGAAGAATTTAAATAGACTTTAAAGGCAATAAAGAAGCAAAACTGAGACACTGGAAACTTTAGTTAGTGATGAATAGGGGGTATTTGAGTGTGTCTCTTAGAATGTATAGGAAATAATAAGAGAGAAGTTGGTAGATATAAAGAGAGAATAGAAAGTAAACCCAACAACTATGGTGTTTCTCAGGAAAAAAGAAGACTAATTGGCATAAAGTCAACAATCCAAGACATGATGGAAGAAAATCTTTTTAACTTGGATAGTCACAGGATCATACTCAATGATTCCCTCTTCCCCTGCAGAGCAAAAATAGACATGCTAAAAAACTTTAAAAGATTGAGAAAGTAATCCTATCAGCATTTGGGCAAAAAAAGAAATAGTTACAATGTATAAAGGATTTTAAAAAAAACCAGATGAGCATCAAACTTTTGTACAAAATTTCTGAAGATAGTGAAACTTAGTGTGCAGGTCTGAGGGAAAATACATGATTAAAGAATTTCTTATCTAGGCAAGTCGGCTTTTTTGTATGCATGAAACAGAAAGCCATTCTCAGATCTATTTTGGTGTATGTGAGTGCAGATATACTTTATCTTTAGCTCCTGACATCATGATGTAAACATCACAGGAATTAAAATTAAATGCATGTTGTTTTGAGTGGTATCCAATGCAGTCAAAGACTCGGAAAGCTAGTGTATTAATCCGTTTCCTACTGCTAATAAAGACATGCCCAAGACTGGGTGATTTATAAAGAAAAAGAGGTTTAATGGACTCACAATTCCACATGGCTGGGGAGGCCTCGCAGTCATGGCAAAGGAGGTAGGAAGTCAAAGGAGGAGCAAACTCATGTCTTACATGGTGGTGGGCAAGAGAGCATAGGCAGGGAAACTCCCCTTTACAAAACCATCAGATCTCATGAGACTTGTTCACTATCACGAGAACAGCACAGGAAAGATCTGCCCCCACGATTCAATTACTTCCCACTGGGTCCCTCCCGTGACACCTGGGGATTATTATAATTCAGGGTGAAATTTGGGTGGGGACACAGAGCCAAACCATATCAGCCAGTAAAAAAATTCCTTCAGTAAAACTATGACCTCAATTGATAATCAATGGAAGAAGAGAAATTCCTCATTTAAAATTCTCACTATGCCCAATAATTGTTGGCAGCTGTGACTTTTCCCCTTAGCACTGGATTTTT